GTGTATGAATGTCTCCCAAGATGCACAATGCTGCCCTTGAGTACCCGCTTTTATGTTAATGTATCGGCAGAGCCATTGTTTCGATGACAACTGAAGAGATTTATAGCATCTCAACGGAAAAGTATCTGAAAGTGGAAACTTCCTAATTAAATATGAATGACCTTTTTCAAAAGTGACCTGGTGAAAGTCAGCAGCCATCATTTCACGAGAGAGAGAGAGAGAGAGAGAGAGAGAGAGAGTAAACGTCATTGCACAACACTTACAGACACGTTTTCTCCGAGGCCATATGACCGCAAGGATTGAAACAATGTGTTGGGAATCTTCGATCGACATAGAATGCGGGTTCCAAGCCCATTCTAAGAGGCACAAAAAGGGACGGTTGTCGACACATGGGGCAGGTACGGACCAAGTCACTTCCGGTTGCAAGTAAGTAACGGGAAATGCAGAAGGGTGAACAGCGAGTTTTTAGAAAAAATGCAGGAGTGTATGAAACCATTTTTGTACAAGAATGAAAAGGGATCAAACCAAAGGGTCACAGTAAAACAGTAAAAAAATAAGCGGATGAGCATGGCTCTTCAAACTGCACACAACTTGTGATCGAAAGTATGAACTGTTTGTAGTAATTGTGGGTAAAACGGTCCAAGGCTCAATCGCAAGTGGGGGAACCGTTAGACAATTCAGACGCGGAAACGCTGTTCGAAAGAGTGGAGGCTATCCCTTTGTTAGAGCGAAGATGAGAGATACCGTTCTACCGCTTAACAAGTAACCATATCACAGGGATTGGGTTGAGGTTTATCAAGGAAGGTTTTTATTCTGATTTACGCGACCTAGTTATAGTACGGTCCAAAACACACGCAATACCATGGGAACGAACACAAACTTTGCATCAGTATTTGTTTCCCCTTCAGTCTACAGTGTACTGGGTGCAGTTTTACGATTCTGCTAGCTTTTGATTAGTGATTAGATATTCCGTCCACCAATATGACACCAAATTATGATCTGACTATCATTGAAGACGACACCTGGACAAACATGAATTGGTAATTTGGTTGAGCCTTGGCATGGGCTGGTTGGCGCAGTGATAACGCGCACGCCTTCCATGCGATGGGTCCGGAGTTCAAATCCCGGATGAGACGGTGGATATGCACTACTGGTGAACTCCAATAAAATCGAAACTCGAGTCTAGTGCTTCCGAGTGGATGGTTGAATCGATGAACTGCGGATTGTGCGTGAAGGTGAAGTTCGAAGGATAGTCAGCTCCAATCGATAAAAAAAAATTATCCCACACCACTACGCACCTCTCACTGTGAGTGAAATGCGAAGTACCAAATTATGAGGCGAATTTCGATTTTCATAGGGCATGAATAAGTCAGAATGAATATTGTTACATTTCGTCCGGACTGCCGTTGACGCAGGCCATTTGCTGAAAATCGGATCATTTTACTGCCCAGAAAACAGAACCAAACGTGGTAAAATTTATGACAAGCTCTCCACTAAATTTCAATCTGGTGAACCGCTGACCCATGATACTAACAGGTAATTATTACCTCTGTCATTTGCAAGAGATCAACTTTACTTTGCTCACTCTGCAGCGATCTACTCCTTTTGTAAAGAAAATGTTGTTTGTGATAAGGAACTCTCGAATTATCCAGAAATCCTGCCATCACTACTTTTCTTCTAAATCTCGCGAACGCGTGTCTGTCGGATATTGAAATTTCGTGTGTTTATTTGGTGTATCTTTGCTACATCTACTCAATCATCCAGATTTGATTTGATGAAGTTCATTTTGTACCAGATAATCCGCCTGAAGGACGCAACATGCCCATAGTGTAACCTCTAAACCAATTACATTATGACAACAAAATATCATGCGATAAAAAACAGAATTTTATCGTTCACAACTGAGGAACAAGGGCATATGCCTGAAGGCATATCTACAATAAAATTGTGGGCTGCTTCAGTTTTCATTGTGAGTTAATGTTAATAACACAGCGGTGTCAAAAGAGAATTGTATTCGTCGACGTTTTGGTTACTGTGGATAACCTTTATCAAGGCAGATCTGTGAACAGGATTGTAAAATCTGCCTTGAGAAAGGTTACCAACGGTAATCGAAATGTCGGCGAATGTAATTCTCTACAGACATTGATGCACTCTTAACACCATTTGTTTCAGTTTTTAACTGCTGCCATTAGGGCGGATTTTTGAACTTGATTCGTTCAGCATACCGAAGAATCATCTACTTCCATGGATTAGCCTTGCTATGAAACTTTACGCAATGCAGTTGAAATCGGGAATGCTAGCGGATCGAGTACTGATTGAGATGTTTTGAAAGAACAGTCATAATGATGACCTGAACCGTATGTCTGACGGTATTGTCATGCTAGAAAAGCACAACACAATCACCCGAAATAACGAAGGGAAGTCCTTAGAAGTGTGATTGCGTTAGTGGTTTGCTTACCTTTGAGAACTGATAGTTGCGGTTTACCGAATTTTAATACAACATCCAAAACCACCAGAGAGCCACTATCTACGGTCGGTATCTAAAGTCAACGTATGGTATGGTATTGGCGGAAACATGTTACTCCGTTGGAGGTGTACAAATTAAGCCTTTTCATTAATGCATCCCACCGTTCCACTTAACTTCCCAACTGATTTGACGATTTATTTGATCTACTCCATCAGTAAGAAGAAATTCGGTAACCAGGAGTACTGCTCTTATCCACGTATACGGTTTTTGGATTGGTAATTCTTCGTGAAGATCAATAGACAAGTAGTTTAAAATGACCGATCATATGCACACTAGAATGAATAATATTGAAAAAATCGGCATAAGCAAAATAGATTATACCATGTCTTAAACCAAACTCACAAAAGCAAGCATAGCAGACATCGCATGAAGCAGGTAATTAAATGCTGTCAAGCAATTTGCCAGCCGGAGAAACACGCCTAGATGGAGTAGGTCAATGAAATTAGCTAAAAGCAATACTGAGCTAAACGCGAGTGGCATAGACCAATGAGGTGAGGAAACATACTCGTCCTCCATTGTGCGCCACGTATGCCATCCATGCACGTGCCCACAGTCCAAATAAACGTACGGTTTCGAATCAGATACAAGTTCGCTGGGACGTTGACATGGCGAAACAGGTGATCGAGGGCAGGATGTTGGATCTGAAACAGCATTGTCTAGAGGTGTGGTTCGAACTAGACTTAGTCGATTGTTCGACTCTCGAACTGAAGGCATGCGGAGAGTTTTGTATAGTATAGGGCACTGAAACCGTGCCAAATTTAGACAATCAACCTATGAGAGGGGCGATGGTTTGGAAAGAGAGAAGTAGAAAGATGAATTTGAGCTCAGGTTGTTGTAAAGTACTCAATGATGAACTTGCTGCTTTCTAAAAGAGCAATGATGAGTTACCAAATAACCTACAGAAACAGTTGCTGGTCGATAAATCTCCAAAGCATTGTCAGCACGCGTACAGATTACTGGCTTTGTGCTTACTGAATCGACAACGTTCGTGGCGCCCTGGCATCCGAATAAAATAAGGGTTAAGTGCGTCCCACGCCAGTTCAGCTGG